CACATGATGGCCCAGGCTCGAATCGAACGAACAACTCTTGCCAAAGCATGAATATCGCTTCCGAAATTGCGAGTGCGGACAGTCCGCCCCTGGGCCTCGTTCGTATATCTATAAATGAAGTTGAATCGATGCCAGATATCAACCCGAGACCACACACTGGAATGAAAGGCGGCACCTCTGACTTGAAGACGATACATTGGATCATCAATGGCGGTTAATGGACTAGTGGAGATATAGATACCCATTTTTAAAGACTGCTCCCTTTCTCGGCATGGCCGAGGCTCGAGTCGAACGAGCAATCTTGCGAACATTTCACATCAAAGATGACTTGAAAGGATGGCAAGCGCGGACCGTCCGCCGCTGAGCCTTGCTCGGATGTCTATTCGCCTAGTTAGATGGAAGTCAAAATTCAAACGGGTGAGAACTCTCAGTGAGGGACGCACAATAAACAGATTCTGGCCATTCCGACGAAACAGATTCCACCACCTACATTTTTAAAAAAGAATCTCTATCCAACCAGCCATGACCCGGGCTCGAGTCGAACGAGCAACTCTTGCTGTGTCGGAGAAGAAAGGAAGACATGGTTTGCCGCAGGGCCTTGCTCGTACGCCTGTCAGCCCAGTTATACCGATGCCAGAATTCACCTACCGACAAGGCGCTGGTTGCTTTGGATGTGCCTTGGCTGGAGCAGCGATTGCGGGGAAACCGTCGAGAATTGAAAAAGTAGGACAGAAAGCATTGAATTTAGTGCGTCGCGGGGTTATGCAACGCAATTCAGAGTTGACAGTAGTGAGCGGTGATAGCGGCGAGCGCGAGGCGGGCCAGTTTCTGTCGGGTCATAAATTTGGCGCTGCGGTCCATGATGACCGTTGCGAAGGGAGCCAGAGAGATTCATCAACATTAACGTTAGTTGCTTGAGCCAGAAAAGAGCGCTCGAGCCAGAAAAGAAAACAAGAACATGAACGCTCATGACAAGAAGAATTGATGCGCACGGACCTATTTGGCCCGCATCAGATGGACAAACAAAGAAGTTGTACCACCCACGAGAAGCAACGCGAGCCAGCTCAGTCTGATTCTCAGAGAAACAGATGGCGTCCTCAAATCTGGGACTGTGCAGCAAGATGAGCTGCTGCTAAGTAATTAAAGAGACGCAAAGGTTACGAGGCCGCCGTTGGATTCAAATCATTGAAATAGTTACAAGATTGGGATTCATAATGTCGCTGTTCGACTGAATACATATATCGCAAGATGGAGCGGACGCAATCCTAAAGCCAAGAAACTGTGATGAACATCAAGACATCTCTACCATTCGTCGTTCGATTGTGGGGACGGAAAATTCTCGTCCGCAGATTGACGAATGGATACCGAGTTTTTTGGGTGCAGTTATCGACAATGTGAGAAAGTTACTTGCAGATCGCGCCGGACATGGAAGCTAGGATTCGATGATGGGGAGCCAGTAGCATGTGGCTGGCCTCGAGGTCAGCCGAGTTAGGAGTCTGCTGAACACAAAACTGTACCTTCAATTTCTCCTCGGCGTTTGCGCGCCACAAATTCGTCACCCAGCGACCAGAGGTCGGGGACACCCTTGGCGCTCGCTTCCCAATCGGCCAAGTAATCCCTGGGGCGGCATGCCATCACGAAGCGAACATCGTAGATATGCGGGGTCTGGGCGGACTGGTAATATTCCTGTTCTTCATACGTACAAAGAGAAAGCCCGAGTTCGAGGCAAGGACATTTCTCCAGCAAAGCCTGCACTGAATGCGGCTGGACAACGGAATCAAGTGCCAGGTGGGTAAGGGCGGGCAAAGCAGGTACTTGAGCCAGAATCAGGTCAGTATCGCGGAAATCCAGCACGTCAAAGTGCGTCACGTAGGTGAACGATGGGTGCGCTAGATCAATTGGACCGCTGAATAAACTCCCGGCGCCGAATAAGGCATCGAGGTCTGCCGATAGCCTCCGCAGAGACATCTCCGCTAGAATCGGGAGCATATCGGGATGTGCTACACGCCGATTGAGCGCCAGATCTACGACACCGGTACAGACCTCCAGAATCCGCACCGCATCGGCCAGCCGCAGGTCCTCTAGACATAGATGCCGGACGCATTTGTGGAAGAAAACTGCGGGTTTCAACGCCATAGCTTGGGAGAAAACGATCCGGGAGGTCCCTTGAAATCTTGAGACTCGAAAGACTCTGTACAGAAGAGGCTCGATTCTGCAGATAATTTAGCGACTACAGGGAGCGTATAGGACAACTAACCAGATAAGAACCCGCCGAGCGACACGCAGGAGAGTAGGAATTTCGCTGTAGTGCATGAGCGCCGCCGTTTCGAATATCTCTCTCTCCAGTTCTGGTGGAAAGAACGGCACTGCAGATTTGAGCATGGCGGTTGGGAGCAAAACGTTGGTCCGCGATCACGCGATTGTACAAACATGCACACATCAAGTATTCTCACGACAATATCAATGTACATCGCCCGTGGTATCAGCTCGTGGGCTTGTCCAAGATCCGATGGGCGTGGGATATGTACTCCGTTTGCACGTTCGCTCAAGCTGATCAACCCAGATTATTCCACCGGACGCGTTTTCGGCACGTCCTCGCATAGGATCCATGGGGTTTCAACAAAACACTCTGCGATTTCACGGACTGTTCAAGGAAGAGCTGCGTTTTATGGGCGAAAGTTGAAGGACTCACAGTAAAACGGATTGGGAATGTTGAAAGAAAGGCTCGAGTTGAAGGAGCGACTCTGGTAGAATACTATGTGCTGGTGAATCGATTATTGCACACAACCGCGGGACGATTCGCTGCCCGACTTTGCTCGTAAATCCGCCCGCGTCGTTAGACTGATACCAAAATCCGACAAAGCGAACTGCGGCCATGCTCTCATATCTGTAAACCTAATTAGATTGATACAAAAATCCAACCGAGACCACACACCGAGGATAAAGCGCGGCGCCTCTGACTTTGAAGACAATGTATTGGAGAGGCAACTGGGGGACTGTCAGAGGATAACTGCCGATGGAAAAAATGTCGACATGCATATCTACAACAATGCACCACGCTCGAATCGAACGAGCAGTCTCGCGAATATGTCACATCGAAGGTGACTTGAACATGGATGGAACGCGTGGGCCGTCCGCCGCTGGGCCTGTGAACATGGTTAAACCAAGTTAGAATGCGACCCCTGATCGTCCATTGCACTTCTGACTAACTATCTTCCCGCGTATATCAACGACTTAAGATAGCAGTGAGACTGCGAGGGCGAAATCAATAGAGTAACAACTGCGGGGGAACAGCGAAGGCTCCACAGATACTGATCCTGGGATGGAAAAAAAAAAATGCTGCGAGCGTCCTCAACAGTGGGCCAGGCCGAGTCGAACGAGCGCTTCTTGCGAATACGAGGTGGGATCATTGGCTGCAAGTACCATTCGCTGCTGGGCTTTGCTCATGTATCTGCCAGCCCGGTTAGATTGGAGCAAAAATCCAACCGGGACCACACACCGAGGATAAAACGCAGGGCCTCTGACTTTGAAGACGATTCATTGGATTAGCAATCGCGGGGAAGATTGGAGGACTCACAGGGAAACATGTTACCGGACTCTCAAAAGTTTAATCCCGTTCGCGCAAGGCCGAAACTCGAGTCGAACGAGCAATCTTGCGAACATATCACCTCGAAAGCGACTGGGACATGGATGGCAAGCGCGGACCATCCGCCGCTAGGCCATGTTCGGATGTCTATCAGCTTGGTTAGATTGACGCCAAAAATCTCAAACTGGGCTAGGACGCTGAGCTTCTTGCTGCGAATACGAATTGATTAAACCAGGAACTATGAGCGACCAATAAAAAACTCACAAGAATACTGATTCTCGAATGCAAAAGACATACGTACACTTTTCTCGGCACATGGCCCAGGCTCGAATCGAACGAGCAACTCTTGCTAACACACGATGTGACCATTAACGGGTGCAAGTGCGGACCATCCGCCGCTGGGCCTTGTTCATGGCTCTGTCAGCTTGATTAGATCGAGGCAAAAATCCAATCTAGACCACACACCGAAGATAGAACGCGGCGCCTCTGACTTTGAAGACAATTCATTGGGTTAGCAATCGCGGGGGAACGTTGAAGGACTCACAGAGATACAGATACCTAATTCTAAAAAGCGCCGGAGTCTGTCACGGCCAAGGCTCGAATCGAACGAGCGATCTTGCGAAAATGCCGGCAAACCGAATTGGTTATAGAAGGTCAGCGGTGACCGTCCGACGCGCCGCTGGGCCTTGCTCGTTGATCTGTAAGCCTTATTAGATTGAGGCCAGAATCCAACCGATGGAACACACTGGGGCTACGGCGCGGCACCGCTCCATTGCGAATGGGATTTATTGGATCAGCAATAGCGGGGAACGCTGGAGGACTCGTCGAGACATAGATACTCAATCTTAAAAATCTTCTCTTCTGTCTGAGCTATGGCCGAGGCTCGAGTCGAACGAGCAACTCTTGCGAACACATTATACGAAAACCGCCAGTAGTTGCAAGCGCGGACGGTCCGCCGCTGGGTCTTGCTCGTGGATCTGTCAACCTGGTCGAATTGAGGCAAAAATCCAACTGAGATCACGAACGGAATCTGCGATGCGGTTGCTTCTCCATTGCGAATGTGCGTAATCAAAGAAGTGACCCTGGAAAACGTCGAAACGACGCGCAGAGAGACGCATTAAAAATTTAGGAAAAAGAAGTCCGTCCGATCCTGCAAATGGCCCAGGCTCGAGTTGAACGAACAAATCTTTGCGAAACTGTGATGGATCCATGAGAAATCATTTGCAACCGAGACTACACACTGAGGATAAGCTCCATAACCATTCTTTGCAGTACTGGCTGACCCTATCGTCCACTGTGTATCGACGAATTGGGGTGGTGCGAAGGCAAATTCATGAAAGCGGTAACTGCGGGGAAACAGTGAACCCGCAGATACCGATTCTCGAACGAAAAAAAAAACCCCGAACATCAGCTATGGCCCAGGCTCGAATCGAACGAGCGCTTCTTGCTGAAACCAGGTGTCAACATGCGCAGTACCGGTCGCAAGCGCGGACCATCCGCCACTGGGCCTTTCTCTACGGCCTGTCAGCTTGGTTAGATTGACACCAAAATCCGAACGACATCCCAAAGGGCTACGGCGCATTTAGAATTACTTCTCTGCTGAAGGCCCTTGGTTGGAGGAGCAAGTATGAGCGAACGGTAAAGCACGGAGGACAACAACAACCTGAATTTGAAACAAAAAAATGCTCCGGCTGGCCGCTTCATCGCCCAGGCTCGAGTCGAACGAGCGTATCTTGCCAACATGCGACTGGGCCATAACTTGAGAGACACGAGCGCGGACCGTCCGCTGCTGGGCCTTGCTTCGTTGATCTGTCAGCTTGGTCAGATCGAGGCAAAGATCCATCTGGGATTACGAACCGAGTCTGTGATGCGGTTCCTTCTCCACTGCAAGTGGGCGCAATTGAAGAAGTGACTGCTGAATAATGTCAAAACCACTCGCAAAGAAACGAATTTGAGAATTGGAAAAAGACCGTCGTCCGATCCAGCAGATGGCCCAGGCTCGAGTTGAACGAGCAACTCTTACTGCATCAACCAAAAAAGAAATGACATGGTTTGCAAATGCGGACTATCCGCCGCTGGGCCTTGCTCGTGTATCTGTCAGCCTGATTAGATTGATGCCAAAATCCAACCAAAATCACGAACTGGGCTGGGACGCTGCGCTTCTAAACAACCACGAACGCGGCTTATTGAAGAGGAAATTGCGGGGGAACCGTAAAAGACTCACAGGGGAATAAATTCCGGAATCCTCGCAAAAAAAAAAAAAAACGTTGACTACACGGAATAGCCCATGCTCGAGTCGAACGAGCAATCTCGCGAAAACATTGTCAAGCGGAATGAAAGTGAGCGCGGACGTTCCGCAGCTGGGCCTTGCTCGGATCCGGATGTCTCCCAGCCACGTTAGATTGATGTGAAAATCCAACCAAAGTTTCATTGGAGTCGCGAACCTTCTTTGCCGCGAATACAATTCATTAGAGAAGCAATTGCGGAGACACGTTGAAGGACTCACAGGGAAACAGACTCGGCATTGTTAAAAAGTACATACTTTCTAAAGCACTATGGCCCAGGCTCGAGTCGAACGAGCAATCTTGCGAAAATGCCGTCAAGCCGAGCTGGTTATAGAAGGTAAGTGCGGACCGTCCGCCGCTGGGCCTTGTTCATATGTCTGTCAGCCTGGTTAGATCGATGCCAAAATCCAACCGAGACCACACACCGAAGACAGAACGCGGCGCCTCTGATTGTGAACGTGGTTTAATGGAGGGAAAACAGTGGGGAAAACAGTGAACGATTGACAGGTCGCCGGAATCTAAAAAGAGTAGTCCGTTATGAGAATGGCCGAGGCTCGGGTCGAACGAGCAACCTTGCGAACATATCACATCGAAGGCCGGACATGGATATAGCAAGCGCGGACCGTCCGCCGCTGGGCCTTGTTCGTATGTCTGTGGGCGTCGTTACGTCGATGTCAAAACACAACCACTCTCAGTAAGGGACCCACAGTAAACAGATTTCGGTCATTCCATCTAACACTTGTAGGAAAAATCAATCGCTATCAAAACCGTTATGGCCCGGGCTCGAGTCGAACGAGCAACTCTTGCTGCAGTCACGAAACTGCAAAGATCAATATGCGTTGCAAGTGCGGACCGTCCGCCGCTGGGCCTTGCTTGTAGGTCTGGTCAGCCTGGTTATATACAGCGCCAGAATTCTCCTACCAACAAGGCGCTGATTAGTTTGAATGTGCCTTATTGCATAAGCAGCGAAGGATTCGGTGAAAAGAGAGGACAGGGAGGATTGAATTTGTCGCGTCGCGGAGTTACGCACCGCAATCCACAGTTGACAGTAGCGGCGATAAACGCGACTCGGACTCGGAGGCTGACCGAGTTTCTGTCGCTTCATAAATAATGTGGCGTTTTTGTTTGGGGCTGCGGTCCGTTGCGAAGGGCCGGAGACGCTATGGACGCTGCCTGAGCGCTGAGCCCGGACCGGGAAAGAAACAAGGACATGAACGTTGATGACAAGAAGAATTGATGCGCACGGACCTATTTGGCCCGGACAAACAACCGAACGGTTAGGTCACCAAACGTGACCGGAAAAAAGCTGATCTCGTGTGTCTTTCAGCCAGGAGTCCTTTCCGCCGCTTCTCGCCCCCAGCTAATCTCCCTCTGTGTACCCTCCTCGGTCTACGCAATCCCTCTAGTTTCACACCGGCCTAGTCTCGTCAAGCCCATCGTAGACTCGGATTCGCCTCGACACGCACCTATCCGCCCCACCGTTACCGCCCCAGCACCCACCAACCCACGACGCGACAATGAGCGCCAAGAAGAGCAGCAGCAGCGCGAAGAAGGTCGACGTGGAGACGTTCGAAACGCGCGACATCGTCCTCGCGAAGGTCCGCGGCTTCCCAGCGTGGCCGGGCATGGTCAGTAGGCGCCGTCCTATTCTGTGCGATATCTGGGGATTTCTGGGGCCTTGGGTCATCTCTGGGGCCGATTCCTTTGCCTGGGGAGCGCTGTCGCTTGTGGATTCGCTCTGGCACTGGTCGGGAGCGTGCGCCAAGAGGGTGGCGACTATCTGCGCGACGGTGGCGACGGGTGCCATCGGCGGGTCTGGATGACGCAGTAGCTGGCGCAGTGGATGCTCCGATCTTGGATGGCCTGTTTCCACGCATCGCGCTCCCAAAGAGGCCGTTGTCGACACCGCAGAATGACTCGGCGGTGGCGTCCCCTTTTTATCACTTTTTTTCACCCCCGTTGCCGTCCCTCATCTTCCCATCGCCTTACATCCATCATTCCCCATCCCATACATCGCCCGCCCTACTCACTTCCCATCTCCGTCCCGTTCCTCGACATCGTCCGATCCCCCCCGGCGCGACGTGGCGGCTTTGTCACCCGCTCACGTCCGCCGACCCACCCAAACACTCCCCCACACCCACCGCTACCCACCCACGCACCTTCCTCCCCCCTCCCATCCCAACCCATCCACCCAAAATCCATTTTCACCCACTTTCCCCGCTTTTCCCCTCCGCCCCGTCCTTCTGACCGCATACCCCATCCCCATCCTCCCCCCCAAGCGCACTCCCCCCCTCCCCCGCACCCCCTCCCCGCTCCCCCCCGTCCCCCACCGCTCCCCTCCCATCACCCCACCTTTTTCGCCTTTTCCCCGCCCTTTTTATTCGCCCCCCCTCTTTTGCGCGAGTTATACGGCCCCCCGCGCGCCCGCATACCCCTCCTCCCCCACCCCCCGCACGCCCTCCCCGCCCTCCCCGCGCTCGTCACTCCCATCCGCGCGCCCCAGCTTTTTGTTACTTTTCCGCTGCTTTTGAATTGTTTTCGCTTTATCCCTCTTCCGTTGGCCGTCTTTTGTTCGTTGGAGTACTCCCCCGCATACTCCCCCGCAGTTTGACCTGTGTTTTGCTCCCATTCGCTTCCCCTTGTTGGCGGTACATATTTTTCATGGCTTTGCGGTGGTTTTGGATTATTTTTCGTTTATTTGATCCTTCATGGCGCTCTTACACACCTCTACGCACTCCCCCACATCACGCCCCGCACCCGCGTCTTCATATTTACGCCTCGTCGCTTCCTTTGGTGCCGGGGGACGTTTTTCTTGCTTTTGCGTCGCTTTTACCTTATCTTTCGTCATCTTTCTACTCCCAGATCATCGTCAAACCCTCTCCCATGTCCTCCGAATCCTCCTCGCGCACCTTCTCCCCTCCTTCGTCTTCCCCCGTCCTTCCTTCCCCGCGACTCGCCCTTTTCTCGCTTTCGTCCCCCCTTCGGATTATTTCGCCTTCCCAGTCACTACTTCACCGCGCTCGTCCCCATACCTCATCTCCACACCATCCTCCTCCCCCGCATCCTCTCCTTTCCCCGCCTTTCCCCGCCCTCCTTCGGTGCTGATGCACCTTTTCCTCCTTCCCACCCCGTTTTCGACTCCCGTCCCCTCACTTTCCCTCCCATACGCCTCTTATACGCCTCCCCACATTCTCCCGCATTATCCCCCCGCGCCGCCTTCCCTCCTTCTTCGTTCCCTGTTCGTCCTTTTCGACACACGTCGACGCTTCCCACTTTCGCATTTTTATAATGATTTTCGGTTTTGTGCGGCATAAGGCGTTGGTGGCTCGCGCGCGCGGTTCCCCGTCGTCTATCGCACTTCCCGCGACTTTTGCTTTACTTTTGGCGGAGTTGGCGTGTACCTACTTTTTCCCCCTTTACGGGTTTTTACAGACTGATGTTCTCCATTATCACTTTGGCTATCTTCCGCACCTTCCGTATCTTCCCCCGCGTCTTCTGCTTACCGTTCCTCACTTTTTCGCCGACGTTCTATTTTTTTTCTATTTTACCTATCATTTATGTCGAGTCCCCCCTTCATTCCTTCCCCCGTTCGTCCTCTTTCCCTTCCTTCTCTCTCGCCCTCCCCTTCTCCGTCGTCGTCCGTCTCGCACCCTCCCCGCCGTCCTCGCGTCCTTCGTCCTCGCACCCTCTCCCCCGCCCGCTCCCACCTCTCTCATCCCTTCTCCTCACCTTCCTCTAAATCTCCCTCCATCTTCTTCGCCCGTCTCGAGACCCGCTCGCTAACCCCCTCTTCCCCCGCAGGTCGTCGACCCCGACGCGGTCCCGAAGGCCGTCGCGAAGGAGCGCCCCGCGAGCAAGAAGAGCACGGTCTATGCGATCCGGTTTTTCCCGGCGGGGGATTAGTGCGTATCGCCCTCCGTCTCTCCCCTCCCTCCCTTCTTCTGCCTTAATGCCAACGCTAACCCTTCGTTTCTCGCCAGCGCCTGGCTCGCCCCGAAAGAGCTCACGCGCCTCACGACCGCGCAGATCAACGAGTATGTGACGCAGGACGCGGGCGGGCGCAAGGCGGGCGATTTGATGGAGGGGTATAAGAAAGTGCGTTTTGTGTTTTGTGTTTTGCGTTTGTGGGTGGGCGGGGGGGGGGGGGATGGAGTGGGTGTGCGAGGCGGGAGAAGCAGAGGCGCGCGTCGGGCTCCGGCGGGATGTGCGCCGATGGTCGCGATT